AAAGGTCCAAAGGGTAGGGGTGGTGGGAGGGGAAGGGGAAAGGAAAGAACAGAAAGGAAGAATTATGAGAAAAGAAAAAAATGGAAACCAAGTCTATGTAAATAGGGAAGGGTGAAAGGGGTGAGGGGTGGACAGGTAATGGGGGAAAAATAAGAACTAAGATACATCATGTACAGGTACAAGCACCCAATGATAAATATAAATCTATTGTATACCTAAAATGTACCAATAAAAGAATTTAAGAAAAAAAAGGGGGGGCTGAGCTGGGGATTCAGCTCAGGGGCACCACACCTGCCTCACAAGCACAAGGTCCTGAGTTCGATTCCCAGTTACAAAAACAGGGGGAGTTGGGGGCCAGGGATTTATTTCAGTGGCACCGCACCTGCCTCAAAGGCACAAGGTCCTGAGTTCAATCCCTGGTACTGGGGGCGGGGGGGAAGGGAGTTTGAGGGAGGGTTGGGATATATTCAGTCTTGTGGAAGGTTTATGCTGTGGTGCTGTGTTTACAAATTTGGGCATTCACAGATATAGCACTTATTGCTCTCAAAAATCTACATTTCCTCCCACTCATTTTCTTCTGTTTATGTTTTGAGGCAAACATAATAGCAAACTATAGTGACAGCTCTATTTCTGTATTCTATCTTTTTCTGAATAGCATGTAGGAAGCATTTTCTCATCTCATTAAATCATTTTCAAAGCATGCTTTATTCTCAGCAGGTCCTCAGTAGACCATCAGATGAGCATGCCAACATTAATTCAATCAATCCTTTCTCTTACTTGTTTTGAGATTATGGCTGAGTTTTGCTGTCTTTTGTCAGGTCTACCAGGATATGCTGGCCCTCCGTGCTGGGTTTGCAATAAGAATATAGGGGCTTTCCTGGACACCAGTAATGAGCTAGCTGAGAAAGAAATCAGGAAAACTTCCATTCACAATAGCCTATAAAAGTCCTACCAGTCAACCTAACCAAGGGGGTAAAAGATGTCTACAAAGAAAGTTATATAATCTCAAAGAAAAAATTGAAGAAGGTACCAGAAGATACAAAGACTTCTCATGTTCATGGATCAGCAGGATTAATATTGTTAGAATGGCCACATCATCAAAAGTGATCTACAGATTCAACACAATCTCAATCAAAATTCCAAGGACATTCCTTACAGAACTAGGGGAAAGAAATCCTTAAATTCATACAGAAACACAAAAGTCCCAGAATAGCCAAAACAAGTGAGCAAAAAGAGAATGTTGGAAGTATTGCAATTCCCAATTTCAAAATATACTACAAAGCCCTTGTGACAAAAACAGCATGTACAGGCACAAAAATAGACATGTAGACCAATGGGATAGCATAGAGGACACAGAAATGCACCCATGCAACCACAGCCAGCTGGTTCTGGACAAAAATATACAGGAGAAATGATGGCCTCATTAACAAATACCTCTGGGAAAATTGGCTACCCACATGTAGAAGACTAAAACTAGATCACTGTCTCTCATCCTGTAAAAAAATCAATTCTGATTAACTGGGTGTGGTGGCACACACCTGTAATCCCAGCACTCTGGGAGTCTGAGGCAGGAGAATGGAAAGTTCTAGCCCAATCTGTGCAGTTTAGTGGCTTAGTAGCATCTTGTCTCAAAATCTAAAAATGTTAGGGCCAGGTATTTAGCTCAGTGGTTCCACTGCCTGCCTTGCAAGGACATGGTCCTGAGTTCGATCCCTGGTACCCCCCCCAAAAAAATCTAAAAATTTAAAGGACTAGAAATGTAGCTCAGTGTAAAGGCCTTAGGTTCAACCCTCAGAACTGAAGAAAAAAGAAAAGAATCAAAGACCTAAGTATAAGACCTTAAACCTCAAAACTTCCAGGAAAAAAACTCAGAGGAGCAGGGAGTAGGGTGTGGTGGTGCACACCTGTAATCCCAGCACTTGAGAGGCTGAGACAGGAGGATCGCTGCTCTTCAAGACCATCAGGACCTATCTCAAAAAAAGAAAAATTTTTTTAACACTGGGAAAACACTTGAAGTCATAAGCCCAGGCAAAGACTTTCTGAATAGGACTTTCAGAGCACAGGAAATATTAGCAAAAATCAACAAATCAGACTACATCAAATGAAAAAGCATATGTACAGTGAAGGATATGATCAACAAAGTGAAGAGAGAGCCTAGTGCACACAATGAGAGAAAATCCCTGCCAGCTATTCTTGTGACAGAGGATAAATATCTAGAACATATCAAGAACTCGGAGCCAGGTTTGGCAGCATACACCTGTAATTCCCCCTACTCAGGAGACTGAGGCAGAAGGATCACGATTTCAAGTCCAGCCTGGGTAACTCAGTGAGGTCCTGTCTCAAAATAAAAATAAAAATAAAGGTCTGAGGGTGTTGCTCAGTGATAGAGGACCCCTTGGTTCAATCCCTGGTACTGCATAAACAAATAAATAAATAAATAAATAAATAAATAAATACTGAACACTAACAAAACAGCCCAGTCAATTAGTGGGCAAATGAATACAACAGATTATTCTCAAAAGAAGTACAAAGGACCAGTAAGTATATGAAAGAAAATGATCAACATCTTTAGCTATTTGGGAAATGCAAATAAAAACCACACTGAGGCTCATCCCTATAATCCCAGCAGTACGGAGGCTGAGACAGCAGGATCACTTCAAGTTCAAGGCCAGCCTGGGCAACATAGTGAGTTCAAGGGCAGTCTGAACTACATAGCTAGACCCTGTCTCAAAAAAACAAAAGTAACAATGACCAAAAAAGAAGAAGAAAAAAAAGATTCCATCTCACCCTTGTCAGAATGACTATCATCAAAAATACAAAAAAAATCCAGGTGGGATAGTGCACACCTGTAATCTCAGAATTTAGGGAGGTTGAGGCAGGAAGATAGCAGGTTCCAGGGCCAACTTGGCAACTTACTGTGACTCTCTCTTAAAAATAAAATTTTAAACCGGGCATGATGGCGCATGCCTGTAATCCCAGCCCTCAGGAGGCTGAGGCACGAGGATCGCCTTGATTTCGAAGCCAGCCTGGACTACCTTGTAAGACCCTGTATCAAAAAACAGGATAAAAAAAGAAAGAAAGAAAGAAAGAAAGAAAGAAAGAAAGAAAGAAAGAAAGAAAGAAAGAAAGAAAGAAAGAAACTAGAAAGAAAAAAAGGTACAGGGAAAGTCAAATGCAAGCTAAGCACTGTGGATTGTTTTCGGTTTTTTGGTACTGATGATTGAACTCGGGACCTTGTGCTTGCGAGGCAGGTGCCGGAACCACTGAGCTACATCCCCAGCCCAAAGCACTGTGGATTGTTGAAACATATCTATTCTGTTTTCCAGCTGTGTGACTTTGGGCTTATTATTTAAATGAGGAACCTCTTTCCCCTTCTGAACAGCAGGGATAACCACATTTACTTCACTGGGTTCTTAAAGGTGTCACTGAGTGAATGCTAGTGGCTCACAGCTGTCTAGACACCAGCTGGACCATGGTGCCCAAGCCCCACTGAGTCCTGCTCCATGGTGTCTAATGCCAGCTCTTGTCCCGGACACCGGGCCACATCCCATCAACAACCTGCTCACAGCCTGCCACCTACCTTTACCCTGTGATCCTAGCATGGCAGTTAATTTTGTGTCATCTTGGCTGAGCCATGGTCCCTAGACATGTGCTCAAACATTATTCTAAATGTTTCTGTGAGTGTAGTTTTGGGTAAGATCGACATTGCAGGTCGTGGACTTTGAGTGGAGCACATTTACTCCACCATGTGAGTGGGCCTCCTCCAATCAGGTAACAGTTTGGATAGAACAAAAAGACTAACCCTGCCCAGACAGGAATGAATTCTGCAGCAGGTGCCTTTGGGACTTGAACTCCACCATCAGCTTTCTCCTGTATCCGCTGTGTGCCACCCCACCCCACAGAATTTGGACTCGCTGAACTCTAGGGGCAAGTGAACCAAGACAATTTCTTTTTCTTTCTTTCTTTTTCTCTTTCTTTCCTTTTCTTTCTTTCTTTCTTTCTTTCTTTCTTTCTTTCTTTCTTTCTTTCTTTCTCTGTCTCTGTCTCTTTCTCTCTCTTTCTTTTTTTCTCTTTCTTTCTCTTTCTCTTTCTCTCTCTTTCTCCTTTCTTTCTTCCTTCCTTCCTTCCTCCCTTTCCCAAGGACACTCTGCCACTGAGCTACATCCCTAGCCCTTGTTATCCCTTGTTATTTTTTATTTACTTATTTTTATTTTTGTTTTGTTTTTTGAGACAGAGTCTCACTATGTACTTTAGGCTGGCTTTGAACTGAGTGTGTAACCCAGGCTGGCCTCAAACTCAGTGGTGATCCTCCTGCCTCAGCCTCCTGAGTGCTCGAATTACAGGCATGCACCACCACACCTGACAAAATATTTTTGTTTTGTTTTTGGTACTGGGGATCAAACTCAGGACCTTGCACTTCCAAGACAGGTGGCGGCACCACAGAGCTAAATCCCTGGCCCCTGACAAAAATATTTTAAAAATAAAGTGTTGTTACTTATGTACAGTAACCATATTATATATTTTATATGTGATCCAAGACAATTCCTCTTCACTCAGTGAGACCCAGGCAAGCCAAAGTTTAGACACAATTAGACTCTTCCTTTTTTTTTTTTTTTGAGACAGGGTCTCTTTCAGGAGGCTAAGGCAGGAGGATGACTGCAAGTTCAAAGCCAGCCTCAGCTACATAGTAAGTTCAAGGCTAGCCTGAACTGCATAGGAAGACCTTGTTTCAAAAGAGAGAGAGAGGAGGGGGTGTGGAGAGATCTTATTATGTAGCCCAGGCTGGCCTCGAACTTCAACTTGCAGTCATCCTCCTGTCTCAGCCTCCAGTGCTGGGATCACAGGTGTGCATGACCACTTTCTTTTTCTTTTTCTTCTTCAAAGACTTCTCTAGTATAACTGGAGCTTTAAACAACTAGCCAAAGCAAGAAGGACTGAAAAACACTTTATTTAACATCACCTGCACTGAGTCTTGTGCTCACACCCAGGAGTGTGTCAAACATGGACAGTGTTTCGGTTGTGTGGATGTGGATCTGGGTTCAACCCTAGCCACCCCAGCGCAGCTTCTCAGAGTGTCTGTCAATGGGGCCCTCTTAGCACAGACATAGGCCCTGCTTCTCTAGCTGCCATCAGCCCTGGTCCCAGACCCCTGGAGCCTCTCTTGGGGGCCTGAGGACGTTGGGGGCCAAACTAGGCCAGGGTGCTACCGGAGAAGGCTCAGCCAACCTCTGCTGCAGATTCAAGTCCCCCACTTGCACCTGGCCCGTCCCTCATTCCTGCCTCTTGCCTTTGCTTTCAGCGTCCACTGCAAGGTTGTCGGGGAGGACCCTGTCCAGTCATCCCCAGGCCTTGGTCCCCAGCCAGAGGGGCCTGTGACAGTTGCCTGCTGCGCAGGCTGGGTCTTGGCCCTGGAAACTTCTGGAAGAAGTAGGAGACACTTCTGGGCTTTGGCTTGGCCTCTCCCCACCCAGGTTTGGATTTTCGATTGTCCCCAGCAAGGGCAGGGATCCCAAAGCAGAGCAGAGCCTCCCTGCACCTGGCAATACTCCTCACACCACACTTCGGTTCCAGGACTTCAGCCCCTCAGACACCCTGGCCAGGCTCCCACCAGAGGACAGAGGAGCAAGGGGGTCATGTTTCAGGCCCCACGAAGGCTATGTGAAAAATAATAATAACGAAAAGAAAGGCTGTGTGACTGTGGGCATACCACATGGCTTCTCTGAAAAAGCAGTCATAATCGCAATTTTGCAGGGTGACCATGAGGTCGAAATAAGATAGTAGCAGTGACAGTGGCTGCCATGGTGGCAGGCACTCAACAACAGCTTCCTTTCTCCAGTGAAACCCTGGGCCAGCTGGTCTTTGGGAAGGGCCACTCCAGCAGTGGGGCAGGAGAGGCCGGTGTGTGGTGACTGCTTCCTGAGCCTGAGGTGGGGCAGCCACGCTCCTGGCCCAGGTCAGAAGTGGACCTGAGTCGAGGACAGCAGTGGGAAGGCCAGGAAAGGCTGGTGGCTGGGATTGGAGGCTGATCCTGGCCAATCTGCTGCTGAGGGACCAGGCTTGTTCTCCCTGCTCTGCAGATATTCAGGCCCTAGAGAGGACCCCAGCTTCCCCCTGCTGGGGGCCACCTGCCCAAGGGGCTGTGGAAGGGCAGGGTGGGGTGGGGACAAGAGGACACTGAACTTGGAGGGAGAGCCCAGCAGGCTGGGGCCAGTGGGCGAGGCAGACAGCACATGGCTGGGGGACATCTGAGCAGGAGGTAGGGTCACCACAGCAGGGCTGAGGGACAGCAAGGACAGAGGGCCCGGGAGGAGGCCACAGGGATCCTGAGGCTGTGGATCTGGGTGCAGCTGCCGAGCTGGCAGACAGGAGACAGGAGTCTGGAAGATGCCTGGCTGCTCCTGGCAGCCATGCTGTCCCTGGGGAGCAAGCTGTCCCGGGAGCCAACTGGCCTGGCCCCAGCAGTCAGGGGGCTCGGGAGCCTGGCCGAGGGTACAGTCCCTGGGGCACAGGCGCTCATGCAGATGCAGAGTCTGACTCCACCAAGCCAGCTTGGCCTGCAGGCCCTGGATCTCCTTCCGAAGGGCCTGGTTGTGTTTCTCCAAGGACTCGTGCTGCTGGAGGAGAAACAAGGGGCAGGGAGGGGTGTCAGACAGCATTGGGCCCCACGTGACCACTGTCCCCTCCAGGGTCCTCACTGGAAGGGAAAGATGCTGCTACCATCTGAGTGTCCAGGACACAGCCCCTTGGCTACCCTCTGGCCAGCCCCCTGCTGTCACCCACAAGTTCCCCATCCAACACCCTGGCAAGGCCCAGACCTGCCCTGTTTTGTGCCTGCTGCTAATCCCCTGAGCCAGCACCACTGGTCACCCAGGACCTCCTCCAACTCCTAAATGGTGTGTACCCCAAACCACCCCATTTTCCTTCCCAGAAAAACCATTCAGCAAATGCGTCATTATTGTAGGGTGAACTGTTTTGTTGCTGTTGTTCTGTGGATTGAACCTTGGGCCTTGTACATATGAGGCAAGTACTCTACCACTGAGCCCCAGCCTCAGCCTCAGCCTTGTTTTCTTTTTTAATTTTATTTTGAAACAGGGTCTCCCTAAGTTTCCTAGGCTGTGGCTGGAACTTGAGACTGTCCTGCCTCAGACTCCTTGAACAGCTGGGATTACAGGTGTGTACCACCACACCCAGCTATGCTCAGACCCTCAGCTCCATCTGCCCTGCTTTCTGTCTTCTTGCCCTGTCTCCCTGTCCCTGGGATCTGCTTCCTCAACACACTTCCAGTGTCCTTTTCCTGGACACTCTTCTGCACCTTCCCCCCCCCCCGCTGAGCTAGTCCTGATGAAGCTTTCCCATGGCAGCTTCAATGTCATTCTGTCTTGGGCTCCTTGAGTGTGCTTAATGCCAGTGCCAGGGCTTCCCGGTGCTCAGAACCCGTCAACTAAGGCACTGTTAGGGAGAGTTGGGATATGATGTTCTCCTGGATATGCCTAAGTCAGCCAGCAATGAGTCCTGCCTGCTCACCACCTGCTTCTGAGAACACAGGAGAGTCATCAAGGTATGCTTCTAAGTCACCATTTGTGATGGCAACAGTGGTGAAAACAGAAAAAAATCTTATTTCCACATCTCATAAGGCTGAATAACTTGAACAGCTTTCTTCTGTCCCCTTTCCTGGACACTTTTTTTTTTTTTTTTTGGTACCAGGGATTGAACTCGGGACCTTGTGCTTGCGAGGCAGGTGCTGGAACCACTGAGCTAAATCCCGGGCCCTCTGAGACACTTTTTTAAAAAAAGAAGATGCAAGGGCATTTTGCATAAATGCCATCAGTGGACCCACTTACAGGCTGCCTTCTGGATAGGAAATGGAGTTTTTTGGTGCTAAGGATTAAACCTAGCATTCTGCACATGCTAGGCTAGCTCTGTACCACTAAGCTACATCCCCATCCCTGGCCACTGCCTCTCTCTTTCCTTCTTTCCCCCTTCCTTCTTTCTTTCTTTCTTTTTCTTTCTTTCCTTCCTTCCTTTCTTTTTCTTTCTTTCTTTCTTTCTTTTTTTTTTTTTGGTACTGGGGTTCGAATTCGGGACCTTGTGCTTTCGTGGCAGATGCCAGAAACACTGAGCTAAATCCCTGGCTGGCTGGCTTTCTTTCTTTCTCTCTCTCTTTCTTTCTTTCTTTCTTTCTTTCTTTCTTTCTTTCTTTCTCCTTTCCTTCCTTCCACCTTTCCTCTTCCTCTTTCTTTCTTCCATCCTTCCTTTCTATTTTGTTTAAGTTCAGATTGGCACTAAACTCATGATCCTCCTGCCTCAGCCTCCTGAGGGCTGGGATTATAGCCTTGCACCATCACAAAGGGCTTTGAAATGAGAATTTCCAAAGCATATCATTGTGTCTCTCTTCTAAATTCTCCAAGCCTTCAACTCACCCCCAGGAATTGAGTCACTCAATCATTCATTCATTCATTTGCCATTTTCAGTTCATGTTCAGATGTTACGGCTCAGGGAGGGCTCTCCAGGTCCACCCATCACATGCCAGCACACACTCTCCTTCTCCTCTTCCCGGCTTTACCCCCCACCCTGCCCCAGGCTCATCACACTCTGACGTCCTAAATACTTTTTTTTTGGTATGGGCAATCTAACTCAGGGCCTTTCGCTTGCCAGGCGGGCACTGTGCCACTGAGCCACATCCCCAGAAAACCCTAAATACTTGATGGGTCATTTATTCATCTGGCTTCTGTGTGAGTATGAGCTCTGTGGGGTAAGGGCGAGACTTTGCCTGCTGTATTCACAGCTGTCCTTCAGTGCTGAGACCTGAGCCTGTACATGAGAGACCCTCAAGGGTACTTCTAAAAGCAATGAGTAAGTGAAAGCTCTTCCCAGGCACCATCTCCTTCATGCCCTGTCTGCAGGATGCTGCCCCAACTGTACCTGTGCCAGCACAATTTCATGTGCCCACAATGCATTTTCTTTTCTTTTCTTTTCCTTCTTTTCTCTTTTGAGACAGAGTCTCACCACCATGCGGCCTCAGTGCATTTTCTTACCTTCATCCACTTGGAAAACTCCTATTCACTCCTCAAGACCAGCTCGGATTTCATTTCCTCTTTACATCACCTGATATCACACTACCTATGTACTAAGGACTGAATTATGTCACTCCAAGATTCATATGCTGAAGTGGTAACCCCTAGTGTGACTGTATTTAGACACAACTTTTAGGAGGCAATTTTACTTTTTTTTTTGGTACTGGGGATCGAACTCAGGGCCTTGCGCTTGTGAGGCAGTCGGTGGAACCACTGATCAAAACCTCCAGCCCAGGAGGCAATTTTAAATGAAGTTGAAAGGGCAGGGCTCTAATCTGACAGGACTGGTGGCTTTTATCAAAAAATGAAAGGAGAGCTGGGCTTGGTGGTACATGCCTGTAATCCTAGCACTCAGGGGGCTGAGGCAGGAAGGGAGTAAGATTTCTCTCCTCTCACACCTGAGAAGGAAGGTCCTGAGCACCCAGCAAGAAGGTAGCCACCTACTATATAAGCCAGGAAGACAGCCCTCAAGGTCAAACCCAGGAACACCTTGACCCTGAACATCCCAGTCTCCAGAACTTGAGGAATAAATATCCTTTAAGCCTGCCAGTCTACCATCTTCTGTACAGCAGCCTGAGCAGATGAATGTGTCGCTTCTATGGACATGTGCTCAGGGTGCTTTATCCTGTCAGTGGCTCCCTGCCAGGCGATCTTCTAGGTGTTGGGGAAATAGCAGGGAATGGAATAGCTCCCTGACCTCGTGGTGCTCAATCTGGTGAGGAAGGGTGGATTATGGAAGAGAAGTCACTGCTAAGGATGAAATGATCCACCCGTGTATTCGTGGGTTTGTGGGCTTTGGGGTGGCATGAGATGCTCTTTCTCTGGCTCATTTGCTATCTGTCATGTGATGCTCACATCCTGCCCTGACCCAGCAGAAGGACACTGGTCAGGTTCTGGCCAGATGCCAGCATTATGCTCTTGGACTTCTACGCTAAATAAACCACTATTCTTTATGAATTACCCAGTGTGTGGTATTCAGGTATAGCAGCAGAAAATGGACTAAGGGGGCCTCCCCACCTGGTGCAGGGCATCCGCCCTATCCGTGTGCTTCTGCCGGCTGCGCTGGGCGGCCACCCGGTTCTTCTGTTTCTTTTTCAGCTGCTTCTGACACTTCTTGGGGTCCTGCTGAACATGGACAGAGGCTCAGAGGTTCCCCCAGGGCCATGTGCCCTACATAGCCATTTGTAGAGCCAAGTCCCCTGTCCTTCCAGAAGCCCCTCTGGCTCCCTTGGCACCCATACTCCTGCCCCCGCAAGCACTGCACACCTTGTGATGCCAGTGTCACCCAGTGTCCTGCTTACAGTCCTGGGGGTGCAAGAGCCAATGGGGGTTCAGACCTAGGCAGAACTAACTTCAAACTGCACATTTGCCCAAGCCATGTCTCTCGGGGCTACACACTTCTCTGGGCCCAGTTGCTTCATTTGAGCAACCGTGGAAGCACCACAGTCTCCCCCTCACAGGCCTCTGAGAGGCATGGAAGAGGGAAGCCCATGCAGCAGGCAGCCCAGAGCCAGGGTCAGTGAAAGGCAGCACTGTGCTTCTCACTGCTGTCACCTCACCGCCACGGTGTTGCTGATTTTCCTGACTGAGAGCTCCATGAGGGCAGCAAAGGGGCTGATTCAGTACCATATGTCCATGTCCAGCTCAGGCCCAAAGCTGACATTCAGTTACTTAAATATTTATTAAACACCTGCTGTGTATTGGGCACTTAGCTAGGAGGACATAGCACCAAACAAACAGGCAACAGTCTCAGCCCTCACACCATTCACATAGCAATGGGTAGTAGCCCAGAAGGAATGAATGGGAAGTCCTTCCAAACAGGGGAGTGGACCCCAAGGTTGGCAGCTGTGAGATCCCCCACCACAGAACTTAGATGAATTATTTAATCCAAATGTCCAGAGCTCTGGAAAGTCAAGGCAAAGGGAACTGGTGAAGACCTCATAGCTGAGTATCAGGGTCCCAGGGAGGATGCTGGCCCCCCTGGCAAGGACTCTGGATGCTCCTAGGCTCATGGGTACAGCTCCACCCTGGGTAGAGCTTTGAGGGGTTCATGGCCAAAGCAGGAGCATTGCAACTCTGGAGGGCTAGGAGACTAGAGGTTGGGAAGGACCCAGTGAGCTAAGGAGGAGGCCACAAAGGGAAACTGCGGGAGTAGGGTGGAGGAGGGGAGAACAAGTGGGCAGGGGAGAGCAGGTAGATGGAGTCCAAGTTCTAAACCAAGGCTGGATCTGCAGTACGAGAGCCAGAAAGCTTCATTCCAATCCCCTAATATCCCAGGGGAGGAACTGAGAGGCACAGAGGGAGTGTGTGGAGTCTGCCTAAAGTCACACATCCACAGGCACAGAGCTGGGACCGGAGCTCTAGACTGCATTTTTCACTTCCTGAGCCCTGGGACCCTTGGGAACATTTCCCCATTTTTTCCCCCATGTTTTTTTCTTTACTGTACTAAGGATTGGACCCAGGGATTTGCACTGAACTACATCTCCAGGCCCGCCCCCCTTTATCTTAAAATTTTGAGACAGGGTCTCACTAAGATGCCTACACTGGCCTTGAACTTGAACTTGTAATCCTTCCGCCCTGGATTGCTGGTAGTAAGGCACGTGTCACCATGCCTGGCCATATTCCCTTTCTCACCCCCACCCCGGGTCCCTGTACTCACTGTCCTAGTCATCAGTGCGTCTCCCTGGCACAGGTGCATGGCTCAAGCAGGAGGAGCAGAGAGTCACACTGATCCCAAATGTCCCTCGGCAGCTGTGACCTCCCACTGCCCTCCAAGGGCCCAAGGAAGTGGTGGCTCTTTAAACTCCAGTGACCACTCCGCCCCCAGCAAGCCAGTTTCAGTTTCTCCTAAAGCCACTAGCTGCTCAGAATCCCTGGTTCAGGGTGGCTCACGTGGCTGGAACTTCCTAACTGGAACTGGCCTTCCAGTTGGGCCCCTTCTCTGGAAGCAGGACTGTGGGTGGGGGAGAGGAGGGAAGACAAGGGCCAGGTATGGGAAGGGTATTCTGGGGAGGGAGGAAACCAAAAGAAGAAGCCAGTGGAGTCCCAGAGTTCATGTGGGCCTTGGGAGAGCCCCTGTGCTCTGTGGGGGACCCCAGATTCACAACTCATATTGGAGCTGAACTACTTTAAGAAAGTGACTTACCCTTTCTGAGCCTTAGTTTTCTCATCTGTCAAGGGTATGGGTGGGCTGGTACAAATTCTCAGTCTTGGAGTAGGAACTAAAGGAGATAATAAAACCACCCCAAACCCCTTGAGAGCAATGTCAAGGCATGTCTTCAAAAACAAGCAATGTCCCTTAAACAGAAGAGATGGAAAAATTACTGCTCCACACAACAGACCACGAAGTAGTGGAGAGGACAATCTAGGGTGAATAGCCCAACTTCCAAGCTGTGTGACCTTGGTAGGTAATTTCACCTTCCTGGGCTGCTTCCTAATTTGTGAAATGAGGATAAAATCATTTTGTTATGAAGATTACATGCATTAAGGCAAGTGAGACACCTGAGATTATGCCTCATGCGGACGGAGTAAGACCTTAATAAACGTCTGCAATTATGAGGTGGTGGGAGATTGGAAACCAAGTTTATCATCAGGCCTAAAAGTCCAAAACAAGCTGGGCATGGTAGTTCAGGCCTATAATCCCAGCACTCTGAGAGGCTGAGGCAGGAAGATTGCAAATTCGAGTCCAACTTGGGGAATTTAGCAATTTACCAAAATCCTGTCTCAAAATAAGAAATAGAAAAAGGATGTAGTTCAACGCAAAGGTTCTAGATTGAATCCTCAGTACCAAAAAACAAACTGTCCAAAGCATCTCATTGTACATACATAGCAAGCTGAGACAAGTCCTAAACATTATGATAAGGTTTCTATAAAGTTTAATAATATGGATGTGTACACAGGTAACGAAGGTATAAAAATACACCTGGGAATGAGAAACAAAATTCAGAGAATGATGGCAGGAGAGAGGAGGGATGCCCTGAGAGGGACAGACATGGGGACTTTGGTGATCTGCGGTGTTTAATTGCTCTGTGGCATTGTTGCCCACACTTTGAGGGGCACTTGAAATGGTTCATAATAAAAGCTTCTTTTGAAGACCTCAAAAACACAGAAGCTCCTGGCAAACCACAGGGTTGTTCTCTGTGAGGGAGAATTGGCTCAGATGGGGCATCTGTTAGGGGAACAGAAGAGCCAGTAACCCCTATCAGAATCAGCATGTGGTATTTAGAAGCCTATGGTCTGGCAGGGAGAGCATGCTGAGGTTGTGCCTGAGTTTTGAGGGCTCAAAGCTAAAGATGTGGGGTCATGAGGTTGGCTAACATTGCAGATATGGTCTTCTGACAGAACATAGTGCCTGGATGTTATCTTGAGGAATTCAAAGATGCCTCTGAGCTTATCAGAAAAGAGGGCTGCAAGTGATTAGCAATGTCTGCCATGCCAGGATTGATTACTGATGTCTGCCATGAGCACAGGTGGGAATGTTGTGATCTTCTGTCCTCCCTGACCCAAGGTTTAAAACCAGCCTGGGCTTCAGAGTCAGAAGTCTAAGGGCCAGGGGGATTTATTATTTTATTTTATTTTATTTATTTATTTTTTTGGTTCCAGGGATTGCAAAAAAAAATAAAGTCAGAGTCAGAAATCTGGACTCTGAGTCCTGGCATTCTGCTCACTGCACTTATCCCCCACAACCTCAGTGTTCACATATGTACACTGGAGATGATGATGAAATCAGGCCTATTTTACAGAACTGTTTTGAAGAGGGAAAGGCTGAGATGAGCGGAAAGGTCTTTGGATGTTATAAAGTATTATCTGCACAGATGCAGTCCCCCTCCCGAAATCAGGGGTGACATAGTCTAGATGCTAGGGTCACGCTGCAGGCTCATTAGAAATGCCTGAGTGGGCAGAATTGGGAGTGCCAGCCGGGCCTTGCCTCTTCCTACAGAGGAGTCTGGGGACAGAGGCTGAGGTGGGACACCCGTAAAGGGAGTTTGCTCTGTTTCTGGGAATTATTTTTGTTTCCTGCACATCAGGAGGACTGGGGCATCTCGCCTATGCCAGGCACCTGAGGGGCTCATTAAGCCAGTCCCTGAGCCCCACAGGGAGCAATCTGGCAGAAGCATGTGCATGATGTAACCCCCCAAAACACCTGTGGGCAGGAGGCTAAGGTCCATGTTCCATCCAGCCCCCAGCCCCAACCTGGACTTTCAGCCCCAGCCCCTGGCTTCTGGTAGAAGGTACACAGTCAGCAGGTATGGCTCCTCCCAGAGGTCACAGCCCTGAAGGAAAGCAAAGGAGATAGCGTTTATGGCTTGATCTTCCTCAGGAGGTGGCCAGGACAGGGAGTGGCAGGGAGGAAGGGGTGCATGGGTGGGTAATGTTTAACCACAAAGCTTCCCCTAGAGGCAGACACTGTTCAGGCTGGCAAGGGCACTCAGTTTGACCCCTGATGTCCTGGTCAGCTCAGGCTGTGTGGTTTTTAACAACAGCCATTTATTTCCCACAGTTCTAGGGGGCTAGGGGTCCACAAGCAAGGTACCAGCAGATTTGGTTCCTGATGAGCGCCTCTGGCTTGCATATGCCTGCCCTCTTGCTGTGTCCTCAAGAGGCAGAGAAAGCTGTGCTTGTTGTCTTTTTCTTCCTCCTCTTCCTTCTCCTCCTCTTCTTTTTTGTCTTTTTGAGACAAGGTCTCACTATGTAGCCTATGCTGACCCTGAACTCAAGGAGATCCTCCTGCCTCAGCCTCCTATGTGCTGAGATTACATGTGTGCACCACCACACCTAGCCTGTACTTTGTCTTTGAAGGACATGAATCTCATCAGGATCCCACTCTTCATCAGGATCCCATACTTGTAACCTCATCTAAACCTAGTTATCTTCTAAAGGCCCCACTGCCAAATGTCATCATACTGAACACTGAGGATTGGTGCTTGAACATGTGAGCTTTCAGGGGACACAAACATTGAGTCTGTTACAGAAGAACCTAATACCTTATACTTAGCTTATCAAGACTTGTTGGTTAGTCCAGCACCCCTGGTGAGTAGAGGCTCAGAGGCCTTTGAAACATCAGAGTTACAAAGAGATCAACTGAGCCAGGCATGGTGCTGCATATATGTAATCCCAGCACTTGGTTGGCTGAGGCAGGAGGATCGCCACAACTTCAAGGCCAGTCTGGGCTACATAGTGAGTTCAAGGCCAGCCTGAAATACAAAATGAGACCCTGTCTCAAGCAAATAAACAAACAACAAAATGAACACCTGAGCAGCAGGATCTTATGTAACCTCTTCATACCCACTCTGTAAAATGAAGATAATACATAAAGATTTGATGAAATAAGAACAGTACCTGACACATAAACATCTGTTGAGCTTTTTTTTTTTTTTTTTTTGGTACTGGGGATCGAACTCAGGTCCTTGGACTTGCGTAGCAGGCAGCAAAACCACTGAGCTAAATCCCCGGCCCCATCTGTTGAGTTTTTAAGAAAGACACTCAATAGACAGCTGACGAGTTTGTTGTTCACATAACAACAAGCTCGTATTTTGTTTCATTATTATTATCTAAGAAAAAAACAAGGGGTGCAAAAAAAGAAATGAGATTTTTTTCTCCCCTAATGAAATATCTCTTTAATGGTGGAAAAAACAAAACCTTAAAAGTTCCCTGGGGCTGGCTACATTCTCAGGCAGGACCCGCTCCTGGTAGTAAGATGACTATGAGAAGCACTAGCTTAGTTTCCTCAGGAGGGGGCCACCCCCCAGCCCCACCCGTCACTTTCCTAATAGTTCCAGAGGTGCCGGGCCAGGTTTCCCCGGCCTGACTTCCTCTTGTGCATGTTCCTGACCTCAGTCTCTACCCAGGGGCTGAAGTGAGACTGGCAAGGTGGGGCTCCGGGCTCATCCTGAAGCCAGGACAGGGTCAGCCTCACCTAGACCACAGGCACTCGGGATGAGGAAGGAACAGCTCCCCAGGGCATTAGGGTGCTGCTGTGAAAGATGAGTGAGAAGGGGCTGGGCTGATCCCCCCCACCTCAGGTCACCTCCCCCTTGGGATGGACTTGCACCCTGTACATCTCTGACACAAAGCCAGGTGCCCTCTTTCTATTCCTTTGCAGCTGCCTGAGTTGAGAGGAAGGTCCCAAGGGTCAGGGACCTTGTCAGGAAAGCAAAGTCTCACTGTGAGGGTGATTGAGATGAATTGTGGGCTGGGCAGGAAAGGGGGACAATGACTCCCAGGGCATAATCGGGTACGGACCAACTTTCACTTTCAGCAGCAGCACCCTGTGAGCACTTGATGGAGTCAGGCTGCAAACAGGATGGCTTCCCTTGGTTTCTACAAAGTCACCACTGTCGTTCTTCAGGGGTGGGCAGTGGCAGCCAAGAGGAATTGGGAAGTGACATACATTCTCACCCTGACCCCTGTCCCACTGGCCTTTTGCTGCCCCCAAAGCTCTGTGCTTCTGGTTCTCCACTGTTCCTGCAACACTCATATCTTTCCAGGAAGCCAACTGGAACTTTTGGAAGTGGGTGGGGAGTATAAATAATAAGCAGCTTTGAGTCACCAGCATCCAGGGCACTGTGGGATATGGCAGCTGTGACCACAGCTCCTGGATGTGGCCAGGTGGTCCAGACCCCAGAGATACCTGGGCTCAAGTGCTTGCACTGCCACTACCAGCTGTGTAACCTTGGTGTGTGACCTTGGTTCTCTGGGATTCGGTCTGTATAATAATGTCCCTGCTTTGCCAGGACTGTCATGGTGAGTGAAGCCACACATGGAAAGTTATCACCGTGAGCTCAGAAAAGTGAGACCCCCCCTCACTGTTGTCCC